GCACAGACTATTATATATTAATATTTTTATAGCAAGCAAAACTTCTTGAAAAGATATAATTTAAATATAATATATTAAATTAAATAATAAATATATATAATTTAAGTTTTTTAATATATAGAATAGATAGGACTCTGAGGATCTATATTAAAAATATTAATATATTATTTTATGAAATATTTATTAGAGTAATGCTTATTATTATAATACTTATTAGAGTAACGCTTATTAGAGTAATACTTATTATTATAATATTTATTATAATACTTAATAGACTTAATTGGGCTTAGTATTCCTGAAAAAAGGTACTAACCTGATTTAAATTTTTATTATATATATTAATCTGATTAAATTTCTATTATATATACTAATTATATTTAGAAGTGAATACTGCTATCTTTAAATACTTATAACTTAATAAAATAATTAATTAGAAGACTGAGAATTATATCACTATATTCCTTAGTTCTAATATTATTAAATGATACTCATCTCAAACTTGTCGGACATCATTTTACTGTTGTCCCGTTGTGAAGATTTGCCTACTAGAATTATTAATCTTAAGATTTTATTAGATATTAGTAATATTATAACTTTATTATTAGCTACTGATATCTGTTATATAATAAGATAATTATCTATATCAGCCGCTAAAAGATATATTCTCTATTATATACTTATTATAAATAATTTTAAATAAAAAGAATACCTCTTATATAAACCTGATTTTAAAAGTAATTAAAAATAAAAAATATACTTAATAATTCTAATCTCTAATATTAAGATAAGAAAAATTATTATCTAAAAAAAAAAATTAAAACTTTTATTTTTTAAAAATAATTAATACTAAAATACTATCCTTTATAATTATCTATAAAAAGTTTAGATTAGATATAAAGTATCTGATTTCAGGAGAAAATCTGGAATATATAATAATAATATTATAATTATAATAGATATTGGGCATCCGCTGGTTAAATATACAGGAGAACAGGCCAGTGCAGAAAAGAATATTAATAAATATATATAAATTAAAAAAGATAATTAAAATATTAATATATATTTTTTAAAAAATATTAAATAGAATTTTATATAAGTCTATATTTATTCTCTGTCTGGCCAGTCTTATTAATACTTAGATAAAGGAGATTATTGAATATTTTAATAATATATTTAAAATATTAATCTTCTATAGCTAATAATAATATATATTAGATTATTATTATAAAAGAGTAACTGTCGACAACTTAATTAATTTAAAATATTAAATTAAAGTAACAGACTTTATAAATATAATTATAATTTATACTGTTATTATCAGTTCTTACGCTACGTGGGCTAAGTAAATAACAAAATTTATAAGCCAGAAATTAGTAAAAGAAGATAATAATATATTTAATAATAATAAAAAACTTAATAATAATATAAATAATATTAATATTATAAAAAAAAATAATAATAATAATAAAAATAATAAAAATATTAATTTTTTATCTCTAGATTCTGAAGAATCTTATTTATAAATAAGAAACTAGAATACTAATTTTAAAAATTATTTAAAAAATATACTAATTAATTATTAAAATAATACTGATAGGTCTACTATCTATAAAAAAAAATAAATTAAATAAAATATTATAATTACAGATTTTTTTGGCTGAGTGGTAGCTGATAAGAACTATATATTAAAAATAATATTTATTTATATTTATTAATTAATAATATATTTTAGAACTTCTTAATAGTAGTTCTTAACTGTGATTCCCATAATTAACAGAGTAATAAATATCTGTGGATTCTTAATAATTCTCTACAAGAAAGAGTAGAATAATATTATAATTATATTATTAAATTTAAATTATATAATATTCTAGTTTTTTATTAATAATATATTATTAAAAAAATAATAGAGTCTATTTCTCTATTTCTCTTATTATTAAACTAATTTATAAGATTAATTAGAAAGAGATACTTAGAAACTTATATAAAATAATATATATTAAAAATAATTATACTACTTTTCTGTCTCTGTTAAGATATAGAAAAATATATAAATATTAATAATTAAAAGATTTATATAATCAGGAATAAGATTTTTTTAATTAAAATTAAAATAATAAAGTTATATTATCTACTGGTTATCTAGAAAAATTATAATTTTATATACAGTAGTCTGATCCAGTGGCTCAAGAGTATTAGAAGTATATTAAAGAAATTAATTACTAAGAATATTTAGAATATTAAAAAAATAATAAATATAATAATTATATAACTAGCTTACTATTATATATTCTTATTACAGGCCGGTGATTATCTTATATATACTAGCCATACAAATTCCTTAGCCGGCGAAATCAGATAATATAATAAAAAAGATAATCTAGAGTTTTTAATTTAATATAGATATATTTAAAAAAATAATAATATATCTGTATTTTTTATCCAGCAGGTAGTAATTTTTTATCTTATAAATAATTATTCCTGACTGCAGTATCTTCTAAAATTATTTATTTAATATAATTTATTTATAATTAAAAATAGACCAGTTTCTTTATAAAAATAAATATAATAATTTCTTATTTTTTTAAACTAGCTTATTTTATTTTAAATAATAGAAATATTTATGGCCTGTCTCAGCATTCTGTATATTATTATCCAGGCAGGTATAAGTATAGACCAGTAAATAAATATTATTTAATTATTTATTTTAATTAAATTTATTTATATTATTTTTATAATAAATATTACCTATGGGTCCTTGGATCTTAATCTATATTATTAATATTTAAAGATAATAATAATAAAATCTACCCTGAATATCTCTCAAATAATCCAGATAATTAAATATATATATTATATTAATTAAATAAAAAAATAAAGGATTTATATTCTATTTTAAGATTATATTCTATACTGTAAGATTAAATATAAGAGTATAATTAAGATTCTACTTAAATATACTACTAATATTATCTATGCTGAGGAATCTGGTACAGATATTTTAAAGATTAAATTATAGTATAGTATAGAGCTTAAGAATATTAATAATAATAATAATAATAATAATATAACTAATCCTGAGAATAAAACAGATCGCGAGAACTTATAAATAAGTATAATTATTAAGAAAACTATTATAAAACTTCTTAAATAAATATATTTATAATTATATTTCTATAATCTGGAAAATCTCAGCTATAAATATAAAAATAATACTTAAAAATTAAATCTTAATTAAGATTCTTAGTCTGACTTCTATTTATATAATAAAATAGATTATTTATTAGTAAATCTTCTAGAAATTATATCTTTAAATAAGATTTAATATACTATAAATTATGATACTAATATATCTTATTATTCTAGCCTATAGATTTTCAGAAAAGAGAGACTATTTTAAAAAAAAAAAAAACTTTATTTAAAATATAAAAATAAAATTATAAAAAAAAATAGATAAAATAAAACTAGCTATTCTAAAAAATAAATAAGATATATTTCCTGATAATATTAAAAATATTAAATTAGTTAATCTGAAAGAAGGCCCTGAAAATTCTATTATTATTAATATTTAAAATAGCCTGGATAACTTTAATTCTTATAATCCTGCTGTAATCAGTATCTAGAATAGTCTGGATAATTCTGATCTCTATAATCCTGCTATAATTAATATTTATAATAGTCTGGGTGACTCTGATCTCTATAATCCTGCTGTAACTAGTATTCCGGGTGGCCCGGATTACTCTGACCCCAATGTTAAGAATAGTGATAGTGGAGAAGCAGATACTGATAATCTTATTATTAATAAAAATTAAAAAATACTTATTAATAAATAATAAATAAATATATTTAATTCTAGTATAAGTAGCTCTATATTTCACCTCTAGATAAGATTTATATAGATAATATTACTGAATATTAACACTGATTACAGAAGCTGCTGGACAGATTATTAAAGAATTTATCAGAATACTCTGATAATAAGTTTCCAAATCAGATAAATAATATTATACTAATAGATATTACTATAATTTCTATTAATATAAGAAATTGATATTTTTCTTTTTAAATTTAATTAATATTAATAAGTTAGATTACTTCTCAGCCTAAGAATAGAATTATTTTTATATTATAATCTAGAAAATATAAGTGCATGCTCTTATCTATTATTAATAAGAACTCTAGTAAATTACTTTAAAAAAACTTAAAATAGTTATTCTATTAATAATAATAAATTATAATTATTATTATATTTTTACTGGCTAACAGTTAACTATAAAAGAAATTATCTATAAGAAAAAAGTCCCCGGCTGTAAAAAAATAATAAAAATAAATATAATTTATTAGTAATTTTAGACTAGTATAAGTTTTTTTTTAGATATTTATTATTCTCTGGCTTAGAATAGTGATATTTCGGACGGCAAGAATATTTAGACAGAATAAAAAAAATTATAAAAATAAATAATAAATTTTATTATTTTTATATCTATACTACACTGTCTATTATAGACGCTGTGCATATGACATATATTTAATAAAAAATTAAATATTAGTATTATTACTATAAAAGCTTCTTTAACTGCTGAAATACAGATATATATTTTATCTAAAGATAAGATTTTAGAAAAAAGAAAGAATAATTATTTAATAATATAATTTTTTCTATATTATATTAGGGTTTGATAGTAGTATAATACTAGTAGAAATATATTACTAATAAACTCTAATAAAGCAAGAATTAGAATAGAATTCTAATAAAACTTACTAACTTTATATTATTATTACACCATATAGGAATATCCAAATTTTCCATAAATTCAGATTCTTGAATTTAATTAGTAGATTTATATACTATCAAATTTTGAGATAAATATATCTCAAATTACAAGAAAGTACTATATCCTGAACATTAATATTATTATACCCCATGCCAAGAAATCGGCCCCATACAAATTGCGGGAACCCTAAAGGAATCGCATATGCGATGCACCAACCCCAGTGGATTAGGGTCTGCTGCGGTAGAAGTCCTGGAAATATATATATAAAGAATATATAGTATACAGGAAATATATAATATATAAAAAATGTATAATATATAAAAAATATATAATATATAAAAAATGTATAATATATAAAAAATGTATAATATATATATAATTTAGGACTCTTAGAAGATAACTAGATTTATAAATAACTATAATATTTAATAGTATAATACTTATTAATATAATATTTAATAGTCCTGATACGGCATAGCCTGCTCAGTAGGTAGGGACGACCGCCTGTAATACTTAATAATATAATATTTAATAATCTTAGTATAGCAGAGCCAGCCTGCTCAGTAGAGATAATTATCTGTAATACTTAATAATATATAGTACATATAGAATATATAATATAAAAGTCTATTTACTTGGATTCCTGGATTTCTTCCACTGCTTCCCTTGGCTGGAGCGCAGAAAAAAGAGCAGAAAAAGTATAATATAACCAGGAATTAGATTAGAAATCTCAGAAATAACTGGCTTTAATAATAAATATTACCTGTGGGCTATTTAAATAAGTTAATTTTCATCACAGTAATCTTACTGGTTGAGTTGTTACATCATGTATTACTATATTATATAATTAATATATTCTTTAAGGGTGTCAGATATAAGCTAAAATAGTAATAGTATTTTTCTTGATTTTATTAATATTATATATCTTATTCTTTTTTTTTATTATTTTTCTGTTATTTTCTTTTTTTTATTTTAAAAATTTATTTATTTATTTCTTTTTCTCTGCTTTAGAAAGTATTCTTTTTTATAATATAATTATATACTGTTTGTTGTCTTTAATCTATATTATAATAGATATTGATAATCTACACTACTCTGATTTTATCTAGAAAGAAGAGTACCATGTCTAGAAAATTAATATTATATTTAAAGTCCATGATAATCTCTCTAATATAATTTTATAAGATATGAATTATTATGAAAGTTTTTAGTAAAATAGTAATTTATTTTATCTAATTTTTATTATTTTTTTTTTATAATCTCTTTTTCTTTGTACCTCATCAGCCGCACGGAGACAAGATAATAAAGTGTACCAGGTGAATAGAGGATTTTTAATACTATAGAAGTACTGTTATCTGTTTTATTATTTATTTTCTACAGAAATCGCGGAGGTTTAAAAATAATCACTAAAATATAAGCTCAGTAGCCCTGCAGAGAAATAAATTAATAAAATATACTAATTAAATAAAGGATTTCCAGTACTGTAAAAATACTGCTATCTGCTTAAATATTTATTTTCTGCAGAAAGAATACTACCTAAGTATAAGAGCTGTAATAAGACTATTAATTATAATATTATTCCTCTTCACTATCAGGACAGCTCAGCGGGATTACAGAAATTAAAATATAATAAAAGAATTATCTTTCTTTTTTTTTCTTTTTTTTATAATTTCTTCCCCTTTCTACCTCACAAGCCGCACGGAGGGGCAAGAGAATGAGATATACTAAGAAAAATAATATTATAAATAAATATAGTACCTGCTTGTTTTCTAACTCCTGTTCGACCATCCGTTCACTGCAGAAATCATAGAGATTTAAAAATAATTATTAAAATACAAGCTCGGCAGCCCTACAGAGAGATAAAATAATAAAGTATATTAAATAAATAGAAAGCTTCTAGTATTATAAGAATACTATTATTTACTCTACTATCCATTTTCTACAAAAATTGTAGAGATTTAAAGATAATTATTAAAATGTAAGCTCAGCAGCCCCGCGGAAAGATAAGCTGATGAGATATACTAAGAAGAATAAAAAGAGTATTATTATTTATTTTATTATTTATTTTCTGCAGGAATCACAGAGATAGAAGAGCTCCTAATATTATAAAAATATTACTACCTGTTTTATTATTTATTTCCTGCAGAAATCGCGGAGATTTAAATATAATAATAGAATTTATTTATTTTTTTTTTTTTTTTTTTTTATAATCTCTCCCCCTTTCGACCACACCAGCCGCACGGAGGGGCGAGAGAACAAGATATATTAAAAAAAATAGAAAAAATACTGCTACCCGCTCTATTATCTATTTTCTGTAGATATCGCGGAGATTAAAATATAATAAGAGAATTACTTTTTTTTTTTTTTTTTTTTTTTCTATAATCTCTCTTCCTTTCTACCTCACTAGCCGCACGGCGGGGCGAGAGGACAAGATGTACTAAGAAGGATGATATTATAAATAAATATAATATCTGTTTGCTTTCTAATCCCCGTTCGATCATCCGTTTACTGCAGAAATCGCGGAAATTTAAATATGATAATAGAATTTATTTTTTTTTTCTTTTATAATCTCTTCCCCTTTCGACCTCACCAGCCGCACGGAGGGGCGAGAGGACGAGATATACTAAGAAGAATGAAAAAAATACTATTATCTACTTTATTATCTATTTTCTATAGATATTACAGAGATTAAAATATAATAAAAAGATTATTTTTCTTTTTTTTTTTTTTTTTTTAATCTTTCTTCCTTTCTATCTCACCAGCCGCACGGCGGGGCGAGAGAACAAGGCATACTAAGAAAAGTAATATTATAAATAAATATAATATCTGCTTGCTTTTTAATCTTTATTCAACCATCCGTTCCCTGCAGATATTATAAAGATTAAAATATAACAAGAAGGTTATTTTTTTTTCTCTTTTTTTTTTTAGAATCTCTCTCTCTTTCTACCTTACCAGCCGCACGGAGGGGCGAGAGGACAAGGCATATTAAAAAGAATAAAAAAAGTATTACTATCTATTCTACTATTTATTTTTTACAGGAATTACAGAGATAGAAGAGTTTCTAGTATTATAAAAATACTATTATCTGCTCTACCATTTATTCCCTGCAGAAATTATAGAGATTTAAAGATAATTATTAGAATATAAGCTTAGCAGCCCTGTGGAAAAATAAACTGATAAAGTATATTAAATAAATAAAAAATTTCTAGTATTATAAAAATATTATTACCCGCTTAACTATCTGTTCCTTGCAGAAAGAATATTACCTAAGTATAAGAATTATAATAAAATTATTAATTATAATACTATTCTTTTCCACTATCTGCTCATACGGTGGGATCGCGGAGGTTTAAAATATTAATATAATATTATATTTAAAATCTTTTATTTTATTTTTACAGTATTATTATTTTTATAATTTACTAATTAGATTATCACGTAATCTCTCTTTTCTTATAACTGACTGTAGGTGAGTGCATAGATTACTATATATTAATATTTTTATAATAAGTAAAACTTCTTAAATATATATAACTTAGGCACAGTAAATAATACTAAATAATAAATATATATAATTTAAATTTTCTAGTATATAAGATAGATAGGACTCTGAGGATCTATATTAAAGATATTAATATATTATTTTATAAAATATTTATTAAAGTAATGCTTATTATTATAATACTTATTATTATAATACTTATTAGAGTAATGCTTATTATTGTAATATTTATTATTATAATATTTAATAGACTTAATTGGGCTTAGTATCCCTGAAAAAAAGTACTAACCTGATTTAAATTTCTGTTACATGTACTAATCTGATTGAATTTCCGTTACATATATTAATTATATTTAGAAGTGAATACTGCTATCTTCGAATACTTATAACTTAACAGAACAGTTAATTAGAAGACTGAGAGTTATATCACTGTATTCCTTGTTTCCAGCGCTATCAGATAATACTAATCTTGAACTTGTCGGACATCATTTCACTGTTGTCCCGTTGTGAGGATTTGCCTACTAGAAAGAAAATACCCAGAGAGCTCTATAAATATTGTGACTCATGCAATTCAGGGCACTCTTACAGATGCAAGAAGAATGCCTTGAAGTGACTATATTTGTTGGTAACTTCAGGGCCTCTAAGTCCAGCCCACGGGCCTTTTACTCAGTCGCACTTCTCACGCATGCGATAATCCTGGGATCCTAAATCTTCCGCACCCAAAGCGTCACAGCTCATATTGTTGAGACTCCTGATAGAACCAAGGTCGCCCCACGGCGCGCTGATTGAAGCTAAGAGTATCTTACTAGATCATAACGGGGCTCAGATCCGTGGAGTTCAAATCTAGCCACTTCGGCTCCGGGCGCGCTCCACAAGACCCGTGCGGAATTGCCCAAATTCCAGTTCAGCTCCGAGACCTCCATTTACCATGGTTTTAGAAAAGGCAGATAGTCAACGATAATCTATTGTACTAATATGTCTTGCCAGATAATCTCCACTTCTGCAGCGTCTTCAAATTCACAATCTGTAATATTTTTCTCAAAGACTCTAGCAGGTCCCATTCACTCATCATATCTGGTGTTATGGGAACGGGTCCTTCCTATTCGATCTGGAATCTTCACAGTGCCAACACATATCATGACCCCCATTACCTGAGTTGACCAAAAGAGCCCAACTGGTAAATGGCTGCACTCACCGAAGATGCCGTGACATCCCAGGCGGGCACATGCACCGCCTGAGCATTAATGGTGAAGCAAACTCGGTGATCCGGGCTCAGCTGGAGAAGTAACTGCGAACCATCATAGCTTTCCCCGGCCAGGGCATTCAAACTGACATCCTCAGCCGTGACCGTTTCGCGAGAAGTGGTTCGGGCTGACAGGGCCTCGGAACTAGTCGAACCTGTCCCGTCACGCCCGGGAAGCTGTCGGAGGCCACCTTGCGTGGTTGGCGCGGAGGTCAGAATCATGCTTCCTCTCTGCTGGCGAAGCTTCTCCATAGGCCAATCGGCCAGGTAGCTGGCGCTCGTGGCGAGGGGATCGGATGCCTGGGAATTCTCGCTAAAGATGGCGCCCTCCGCCCAGCCGAGGAAAAGATCAACAGGGTAGGCGAGCACACCTCCGATTACCTCTTCCTGGATAGCCAACACTATCTTGCCCATGACCGTATCGGGCGTCGGAGCATTGAAACCAACACCCAGGCCATAGCCAAGGGCGCCACCAACTGCTCCGTTGAAAGCATCGAGGCCCACGTTTTTCCACGAGAAAGGCTTGCCGGTCAGACGGTCATAGGTGAGGCCGGTGCCTGCACTGACAGCAGCCCCGATTGCTACGTTGGCAACAAATGCGACTCCCCCAGTGAACCACCCCAGTCCCCCGGTGAACACCCCCAGTCCCACGCTCACAACCAAGCCAACCATCATCTGAGCGAAGCTTCGCCAACTCAGATGGCCACTTGGATCCGCGCGATTGATGGGATCTCCCAAGCAGTAGGCGTATGGGTTTATTTCGCCCGACGTAAAGGGGCTCCATCCATCCGGCTGGAGGAAGATCTTCAGGTTCGGGTTGTATACTCGATAGCCGGCCCCCAGATGGTACCATCCGGTGACTGGGTCGCGCCATTGTCCGTTGAAGCCAATGGTCGCCCCGACGGCACTGCCGCCGTATGGTGTGTATGCTTGGTCGTAGACCTGGTCCGCATCCGCTGGAGACAGCCAGGTAGAAACCGAGTGGTGGCTGTCGGATGCCCAGAGTTGGGTGGTCGCAGTGGTGCCCTGCTGCTGGACTTCACCCCAGTAAATCCCGCCATCCGCGGCGAAGCTGGTCTGGGAATCCCCCTTGGTGATGGAGATCAAGGTGTCTCCGCGGTACGAGAACTGGGTGTCGGGCTCGTTGGGGATGGTCTGCCGGACGAGGCGGTCTGTGGCATCGTAGCCGTACTCGCAGAGGAGCTGGTCCTGGCTATCGAAGACCGCAGCCAGGAGACGCGATGCATTGTACACCAGCTTCCGGCCATGCTCATCTCGTGTCAGACAGCCGTTATTATCGTACTCCAGCGTGATATCCCCCGCCGTCGCGTCCGAATCGGTGATCCGGACCAGCTGCGTCGGGTCTTGGGTACTGTACGTATAGGCCTGCGTGTTCACGCTGCCGTCCACAAACGTGGTCTGGATCTGAGTCAAGCCGTCGTAGTTGTTGAACGTGAAGCGCTGGCGGCGAAGGGCGCGGCCTTGCTCGTCCACCGGGGGTTGGGTACCCTGGCACTGGTAGTCCACCAGCCGACTTAAACTGTCATACTCAAACGTCTCCTGCCGTGTCACCGTATTACTCCCATTGCGTCGACTGCGCGTGGCCACCAGCCCCGTGACCCCGTAGGACTGGGTGGAATGAGACACTAGCGTCGTCCCCTTGGAGACAGTCCGCTGGACTTCCCGGCCGAACTCGTCGTACCCGATGACGGTCGTCAGGGTCACGTTCTTGCTACTATCCTGGACCACCGTCCTGGTGACCCGGTCGGCCTGATCATAGCTCAGCGTGGTCTTGAGCGTGCCCACACTGATCTGTTGCCGGCGGCCATACACATCGTATTGGATGGTATGCTGCATCCCGTGAATATCTGTGTATTCTTGCAGCTTGCCCGCTTGCGAGTACACGTACTGCAGGTCCCTGGCCCCCGCGGTGGTATGGACGGTCTCCTGGGATAATAAACTGGACGGGTAATAACTAAGGCTGGTCGCAGCAAGAGACCCCGTCATCTGTAAGACATCGCCGGTTTGCTGGTCATACTGGTAGGCATTGGAGCCGTCGCTGGTGACCCGACCCGTTAGTGCATAACCCAACGCCGGCTCATACGTGCGTTCGGAGCGCCCTTCGGGGTTAATGATCTGGGCGGGAAGGGGGATGACGCCTTGATAGGTATTGGTGGTGGTGCGCCCTCCGACGGTAGTGCTGAGCGGCCGCTCCAAGCCATCGAAAGACTGTGTACTGAAGCCCTCGGCGCCCTGGAGATTTATGGCCGTGGGCAGGGGCGCGGCACTCTGGGTCGCGTACTCGGTGATGATGGCGTGGCCATCAGGCCAGGTAGTCTGGACCACGCGGTCAAAGCTATCGTAGCTATACTGCGTGACCTGGCCTAAGCCATCCGTCACCTGTCGGCGGCGGCCCAGGCCATCGTAGGCATAGGTGATGGTACTCTCGGGCTTGCCGTCAAGCCGGACCAGCGTCTCCGAGATCGGGGTTTGAAACACGTTGTATTGGATTTGTATCTGGCCTTCGCCCTCATTGCCCACCATCTGGGTCAAGGCGATGGGGTCAGTCTCGGAGAGTTGCACCGCGCCGCTGTTCTTGGTGACCTTGTAGACCTGGCCCCAGTCATCGTACGCCAGGGAGCGCGACGTCCGCAGTTCCGTGGGCGTTCCGCTGGCGCGCAGCCAGTCGACGTCCACCTCTTCGATGCATTGATTGAGAGCGTTGTAACGGCGCTCCCTGACAACGCGGAACGTCCCGGTGTAGGTCTGGTATTGGTCCCAGCTGCCATCGTCGTCTTGACACTCAATCCGGACCACACGGTCCATGCCATCGGTGAAATACTGCGTCTGCACCCCCTTCGTGTCGGTCACCGTGACGCGCCACCCGATGGTGTCCGTCAGGATGGCATATGCGTGCGTCTTCGTGGCCTCGAAGCTCGTGCCGGGGGCCGTAGTGGTCCGGAGGAGTCGACCTACGGCGTCATACTCCTGGGTGGTTGTGATGCCGGCGCTGTCCTTGGTGGCGAGAGTCAGGCCGGACAGGAGAGAGGAGGTGATTTCAGTCTGGGCAGTCTGGCCATCAAAACTGGTCATGGTGGTGACCTCGGTCAACGCCGCCACGCCCCCATGGCTGTACGTCCATTGATACGTTGTCGGACTTTGGTTGTGCAAGTAGGTGACTTGCTGCTGTCGTCGGCCATGATCACTTGACTGCGGCTGGTTCAGGTAGGTATAATCCGAGGTCACGAGCGTCTGGTCATTTTCGCTCGTCACGCGTTGTTGGGCGGCCACGAAATAGGTGGCCAGGGCGCCGGTGGCCGTGGAGAGCTTGAGATAGGTATAGCGGTGGGCCCTGGTGGGAGTTGAATAGGCGCTGGCACCGGGTATGACAGTCTCCAGCTTAAGATAGCGTTGGAATCCATGCGGATCGGCCGGGCAGAGGTCCTGGTCCGACGCCGTCTCGCCGGCGGGGACGTAGTACTCGCGGGTGGTAGTGATGCCGCTCGGGAGGGTTTCACTGGTCTCGTTGCCCCATTCGTCAAAGGTGAACTCGGTCCTCTCGGTGCGCGAAACTTTGGTGGAGGTGTCCTCGTAGGTGGTGGCCTGGCTCATGGGCAACTGATACTGGGCTGGCTGACTGTCAAAGGCCGTGTTGCTCAGAGCGTAGTAAGTGGTGGCCTGGGTGAGTTTCTTGTAATTCTTCTGCTGTACCTTTCTGGTTAGCAGATGGAATTTATTGTAGGTATGAATGGTAGTGGTGCCCCCCTCGACATGCAGGGTGGACGTGTAGGTATAGTCGGCCGGGGTTAGGTAGAGATTGTCTCCGTCGTTGGTCCACGTCCGCCCTCCCCCATATCCGAGAAAGTTATGAGCCGAGTAGCTGTAGGTTGTTCTTATAGCCGGCTGATCATGGAATGGCCATGCCGTGTGAGCGATGACACAGGGAATAGAAGTGACCGACGCGCCACTAGGTAGCTTAAGGCCTTGAAGATCGTAGGAGATGGTCTCCTTCGCTCCTGTTGGGCTGGTGAGCTCGGTCAGCTCGCCCGTTGTCCCATAGATGAACTTCCAGGCCGCAGAGCCATTCAGCGGCAAAATGAGCTCTGACAGTCGGTCATTCAGCTTCTTCAGCGTGAAGATCGCGGCCTCGGTGGTCCCCGGGGCCCGCGTGATGGTTGTCTGCGAGCTCAGGGAGTAGTCGACCTCGACCAGGCTCTGCTCGTCGGCTTCGATTTTGCTCAGTCGAGGCTGGGTACCCGAAAACACCCACGAGAGCTTCAGCGAGCGGCCGTTGGCAGCATATATCTCGGTAGGCACACCGACACTGCCCCGGTTGAAGGTGGACAGCTCCTCGACCTGGCCTGACTTGAGGATCACGCGGTAGGTCGTGGTGCTTGTCTTCTGGAACACGAAGTTCTTGAGCTTCTGGTCCGTTATAAAAACCGAGCTGGTGGTTTCCTGGACTTTATAATTCTCTCCGGTAGATAGAACCAGCGTCTTGGATGACTGGTCGTAGGATGAGAGGTTCCCGAAGGACCAGCCCTTACCCAGGCCGACATCGTCGCTGTTCAAGGAATGATACTGGAGGGCAAGCTTCAGCGGTGGGCCATTGCGGACCTCTGCCGGCACCTCATAGAGAGAGATTGTGCAGTTATATTGGCCGGTGCGCGGATCGACGCCTTTTTCAACGTACGAGTTGAAGTTAAAGCCTTGGGAGTAAATCATGATGATTTATAGGGAGAGAAGACTGATGAAAGATGCTTGAACTGCAACCGATGCCCGGATTCATGGGGTTTATCTACTGCTTTCTTTTCTCATTCCCCCTCTTTTTTTTTCCTCCTCCCTACAAGCGCAGAGGTAAATCACATCATTGAGTGGGAAGGTCATCCCCGGTCTGAGAATGTCTAGACCGAGCTGGATCATGAGGGGTTGGCAACAAGCCGGTCGACCGCCTATGTCCGAGCGTTAGTGCAATGAGCTGATGAGTAAATGTTCATCAAGTCCTTTAGAGTCGAAAAACGTCAGTGAAGGGCAAGCAGGGAATGATTGCACAAAGGATAACTCCCTCTCACGCCCCTGGAATTGGCCCCAATCATCCTTCGCAGAACCAAACCCCGATCCAGTTCACCTGCTTGTCCCTCCGCTAGACAACAAAACCGGCCCATTCGGAAATTCCACTGCATCTCTGTAGGTGCTGATGCCATCGGCGTCGCTTGCCAACAAGGATCGGGGTTTGCTCTCAACTAGGAGGGGTAGGAGAGGTTCCATTGGCGCTAAGGAATGGTGCTGTGACAAAACTACTCCTTCTTTTACGACTACTCCCCCGCATACCACATAAACCAGACTCATGGAACTGCACTAGGAGATCGATCAAAAGGATTGGGCTAGAATAGAACTCTATTCAGGAAAAGCCAGCTACGATTCTATCAACTCCCTAGCATATGGAGGGGAAGGTTCTGCAGCCCAACGCTATCAATGACTGGCAACCAACGTCTATGCAGGTGGGAGATGCACTGCATGAAACTGAACAACCGGTTGCGGACTGCGGGAAGCTCCAGCAAAGATTGCGAAAACTCATGAGGAACATCCTCCTCTCCGGTGGATCCCGTAAGATCGGTTTTTCCCCTACCTTATCACTGCTGTCTATTAATCCACCATATCACTATTCCTAACACACTGGCTCTATGTCAAGAGCTCCATGCATGGGACTGGATCGCCACTCTATCGAGCCCATTTTAAAGAGTTTGATCTGCACAGTTCTAGGGGCACCACTAAATCCAAACACACGGTGATTAGTTTTTGATTCACGGTTGCCATGGATAGTATCATCTCTATTGATATTATGTTAGTATATAATTATATTTTCTTTTTTTCGAAGTTCTTTTGGGCTCCTCAACGGCAATCCAGAGTCTCCGAGGGGCAGATGTGCAGGCTCGTTGGCAGGAGGTGGCCGACACCTAAAGAAATTGTTATTTCCAATTTTCATTTACCCCACATTTAGTTCTAATCTACATTCAGTGGTGAAAGCTAAGTAACAGGTTTCGCCATCGGGATTTGCTTGTCAAAAACAACTTCCAACGGCCTGATACATATACTGCATGGTCTGATCCAGGGTGTGGCAGCAGGCACAGATCCCGATCCCTGCACAATTAGTACGCAATCAAAGAGAAGTTAGCTAGTGATTCTTCAAGTTTGAACGGTTGATGTGTGGCCGAAAAAATTTCTCTCGGCCCAAGGGTGGCACCATGGAAATAAGTCACGATAATGCGTTGGACTCGACTATTGACACAGATTTCTTTATGGTATATCATTACTAGTTACTTCTAGTGCTAATACAGGAGCTTGAGTTATTCATGGTGTTGTAATATATGTTACATGTTAGTTCCAGGATTAAATCCCGGACGTGCATATTAAAGAACCTATGCTACAGGTGGCGAAACAAGTGAGGTCCCTAATGCATTACCCCCTCATTTCAATGGTGGCTAGCCCCGGAGTATTATCCACACTACAACCTCACTGACAGAAATTAAATGGGGAGAATACCAGCTTATCAAGTACAATCGTGCAGGGATCGGGATCTGTACCTGGTGTTCCATTGTAACATGGCTCTGTCGGAGGCTATACACTAGCTGCATCATGCTGCATATATTACAGACCATTAGAAGTTATTTCCGAGTAGCTTTTCCATATTTATCCGGACGAGCAAATCCCCTTCTCATCATTTGCTACTTGCTTTTATTACCATCCAGAGAAGTAGTTGTATATTCGGCTAGGTAGATTATCATTGGCTTAGCTGGGCTTACTAATACCTGCTGTATACGCTAGATATAACCCGACCAATTAGAAGGGAGATTGTTCCCAATATTTGTATGGACTAATACGAGTAGGTCGAACCTGTTCAGGCAGAAATATAATCAAAATTATGGTCTCTCTAACTGCTAAGGCAACTGTTAGGAAGCTTCACTCTTCTTAGATGAGCTAATGCATGTCACGGCACATTGCGTCCAGACTGAGGATCCACTGTGATATGTGGAGTGAACAGTTCCTCAGCATATTAATCTAGGCTTCGCTTCTTACAGTCATGATGAGGGGTGATAAGTCTAGGCCATGGTGGGGATAGAATAGTCGATGGAAAATCACTTTCTTCCGGAGAATATGTAAACGCCAGGTGTGACATGATCGACTACTATTATCGGATGTCTAGCTAGTAGTCTTCTAATACTTAGCCAATCCTGATGCCGGATTAGTGTCCGAATAACACCGATTTCTTCTGCGATAAAGCCAAGTCTTGTTGATACAAGGTATGTGCATGGTTCAGCTTTGCACTGTGCGGGGTGCTATGAAGATCACGCACCTGAACCAGAGCCTTCGACTATGTGGGAGGAATTGAGTACATGTATGATAAGGCATTTAGCCCGACTCCAGTGTTCTCATAAATTACCATAACAAGCAAAATCCGCATGTAATGGACGATACCAGCCATCGAAACAGGGGCCAAGTGATTATGATTCGCTGGATTTGATGTGCATTCGCTGCAATATGTGCGAAAAATAATTTGCGCTCAGTTGAAGTGTTCTATATTAGATTTTACACGGTGGCGAGGTGGGTATTACACCAATCCAATGGCGGTTGCAGGATGAGAGGAAACCGAAATCACATCACTTTACGCCATATCGCAGAGGACTTCGCTTAGCCGTGTTTGGTGATTTGGGTCGTTCGCATCATTGTTTATCCCGCTCGCTGTCGAGCTAGCTGTACAGACGAATGGTTACGTGTCCATGGTAAAGTGGCTATGCTTGGTTAGATTACAAGGCGCGTGGCGTGATCCGGGACGTAGAGAGGGGGAAAATGATCATCAATGCCTTTCCTAAGAAAGAAATTTTCATACATAGTATTGTCTTTTCTTCCAAGAAGTGAACCATCGCCCCTTCACAAGTTCCTGAATTAGAAGCCTTGAAGAAGTAGAAACACATTCCTGCTTTTGTGAATACTACTTTCCTAACATATCTCATTATCTGTTTCGACACACAAACATGGCTTGGGGAGTTGTCAATTTTTATGGTATCAATAAGTAATTAAGCTGGCCTTACTGATACCTTATTTAGCAATAGCAATATATAAGCTCAAAGTATTTATTAGTAATAGAGCTGTTAATAAGATCTATATTACCTACAAATTAAGTAATAAGAAACTTCATATTATTATATTAATAGACTATTATAATATATTAATTAAATTAAAGGAAGACTGGATTTACTTAATTAAAAAAAATAAATTTATCTATATATTTCTCTTCAGTAATAATTCTAGATAATTAATCCTGGATAATAGTCTTTGATATATCATATTCTGGGTCTCTTCTATCAAGATCAAAAAATAAGAATATTATAGTATAAATTATTCAGAATACTCAAAGTTAAGTTTTATTTTATTAATAATATTTATTTTAACTCATATATCACTCTCACCGCAATCCAGCCGAAGACATACACCACTGATGATGTTAATCTGATACAATAAAATATAGCTACAGGGAAATAAGCTGTTGCTACTATTATAAACAGTATAATAACCAGTATAATCAGCAATAATCAAAACTAAGTTAACTATTATTTTATGTCCAAAGACTATATCTTTGTGAATGGAGAGATCTTTGATTATGACACTATTAGATATATAAACAGTGTCATATCAACTCCATACCTGATAAACTTGTATGCTTACCGCATTGAGGGGAATGATCTCAAGTTTCCTTCATCTGGTCTATAGCTGCTGAAAATAGTGAGCAAGTCAGTGTTAGCAGACTGATCCTTCATGGGATTGTAATCTAGGAATAGCTTCAGGGGTGGGCTGTTGCGGACTTCGGCCGGCACCTCATAAAGAGAAATGGTGCAGTTGTGCTGGCCGGTGCGGGGATCAACGCCTTTCTCGACGTAGGAGTTGAAGTTTAAGCTCTGGATTAGATCATAGTGGTGAAATAAAGAGGCAAATGGAGTATGGTTGTTGAGGTGACACCGGGCCCATTCACAGGATATTTCTAACTTTCCGCATTTCTGTCATCCTACTCCCTTTTTTGTCACCGAGTCTTCTATAATTCCTTCTTGTCCATTGGAGAGAAAACCCTCCTCTCACATCACATGAGATGTGCAGTTCATTCGGCCAGGATATTAAGGTGGCAATGAGAACCATTAGTGTCCGAGCAAATAGCAAGGGAAGAATGAGAGTACAAGTCCAGCTGCTTGGGAAAGTGCCACCAAGCCCATTAAGGGCTGGAAGGCTTCAACGAGGAGAAGACGGGGAATACGAGGCGAGCACACCGGAATCTCCTAGCATTCACTGGTAGGGGCTGATGCCGTCACCATCGCCACCGCTTTCTGGCAACGATCGGGATTTGCATTGAACAAGGAGGCGCACTAAGAGGGCCTCACTGCCGCTAAGAAACGGAGCGACCGGTTTGTTAGTGCCCCGACTGAAGTACCTCAATCACACTGCATGACCCTGCCCTATGGAGTGGCCCTGATAGGTCGATGAACTGGGTTGAGCCAGATTAAAACCCCGTTTAGAAGTCATCAACGCTTATGCATACTGAGGGGTTTCTAAAATCTGTCCTGTCAACTTGACAGCCATCAGAGGAGACTGGATATACCCTTAGTGAGTTACTTTGATAAATTATTGAGATGTGTATTATTGTATAGTTGCCCGTAAATCAAGAGATACTTTGGTATCCTCTAGTATTTCTAGCTATGGTGGAGTCAGAAGTGTTGTAAAATTCCATCTCGGCAGGTCCTTATTCGAGGAATTTGTGAGAGAGCGGAAGATAAGTTAGACTGCAGGACATGTCATGTACCAGTAATCCTCGTGACTACATTCTCATCATGTCGTAAAGTCCGGCAAATAGATACCTTCCTCGGCGAGATTGCTAAAGAGATCGGACGATTGTTGCAGGCGATTCTACCTGAAGTATACAATCCGCACTCGCTCCACAGACAAGCCTAGCCAGGGTCTCGAGATGATTTTCCGGCATCCCCAAATCCTGATCACCATACTTTGAATTATTATAACCCGAAACGATGATGATCAACAATGACTATTGATGGGGTTTTGGGTATCCTTCGCCATGGTGTGACGCCGAAAAAGGGATTAGACACCGATATCAGGCCGGATGTCGATATCCGACTTACGCAAGCCGGGTGCAGCGTAGCGATTTGATTTACAAAAGAAGTCCTCCGCCGATAAAAGGTTGAACCGAGTGATTGGACAGATTATAACTCCAGGTCTCAAGATGGGGAGCTTCTCCAGATCCAAATCCCGATCGGAGTCGCACTAGGAAGTATAGCGGACTGGCTAAAGCATGTCAATATGGCGGGAAGCTAGCTGCGAAACCCGAAGAGAGGCCAAATCGGCAAGATCGGCGAATTCGTGTGGTAGACATCTTCCAGATGAGGGGTAACAGGCCAATCAGACCATGTAGATGTGATTTGCTATTGTCACGCAATTGAGGGAGGAATTAGTTTGTTCTTCAGCTGGTGGTGCATGTAGTACTAGTAGTCGTCATAGAAGCCGAAGATAGGGTGACGTTGGTCTTGGCTATTAACTTTCCAGAACCCGCCCTCTCCTCTGACAGTAAGTGTCCTTTGTACGATGAATACTAGTACAATAGATTGCCTACGATTAGTGTATGAAACAATCCAAAGGAATACTATATAATATCAATGGTAGTATCACCCCAACCTCAGACTTCACAAAAGTAAACCATCATCTTCTTCCAACCTCCTGACACATCGATAACCTTCACTTCCTTTACTTTCTTCTGCCATGAATTTCGTCGTGCAAGCAAAATGAGTGTCAAGTGGGAAGTCGTGAATTTCAGTCTAAGCACAAATGTCCAGAACGAGACTAAAAGAGATATTTTCGCCAATGGTCAGATGCAGGCGCAGATTAACGTCACAATCCGAGCCTTTATTTATAATACAGCTATACCCTACCAGCTCACCGAGTCGGATCTGCAGAGTCTCAAGTTGATTGATTATAACACAAAGGAGGAGTTGACGGGGGATTGGACTTATTCCAGGGTTGAGAGGGAGGAATTTGTCCATATTATGCCAGGGCAGTCTTTTGCAGCACCCGTTGTGCCCAATGCGGACGATACTCAAACCATTGTGCTCTGGGTCTCATCGGCTAAAATTGGAGAGAAGAGAATCGCCGCCCAGATTACAGAGCTTGGCGAGACACTAGCAATTGTCAGGACGACCGGCGGTACTTTTGAGTCTAGCATCACAATTACCGCCAGACAGCCGATCACTTACACGATGGATAATGTCACCCTCACTCGAGAAGATACGGCCGAAGGTTCTTGGTGGAAGTCGGTCCTATATGGGCAAAATTGGGTTAACACTGCATATGCCTGGGACCAAGACAACTACTATGTCACATCCGACCTCTATCCATTTGTGAAAGTGGATCGTTATGAGGTGGATATCAATGGTACACAGCAGCCCTATGGAAACAACGGTACTTACTTCCGGGATGCGTTTGCGTATATGGGCTTGGGTAACGATAAGGACGTCAGCATATTTTTCATGCCGCAAATGGGAGGTTCAAGCCAGGCATATCGCGGTGTAATGGCCACGAATGGTTATAACGAAATCCGTTCATTCGCAAATATCACAGTCAACCAGAGAAAAAACGCATTGTGTCTCACCCGTCTCCGGTTCTATTACGGCTGGGTCTCTTGGTTTTCAAACTGGCAACAAGATACTTGGTTCACCATTTACGATCAATATGGAAATTACGGCCACTTTTCAGTCAAAACGAACGCAAGCAACACCATTTCCATCTCGACCAGATATGTTAACAGAGCTGATTCTAAGACGATCAATTCCACTGCAAAGCTTTGACGATACTGCGTATCATGATTGAGAGTCGGAAGGGTGCTTACTTTGCGATTGACCTCTAAAAGGGAGTGAAAGGCCGTGATTTTTGTCGGTTCGCTGATGGATGTTGGTGGAAGCCTCAGGACTCAACTTCCCTGAGGTAGCAATGTTCTGAGTTCAACCATCAGGGCAGCATGATGTATATCAAATGTTGAGAATACCTCGTTCTTTCTTGTTAAAACTTTCCCATGTTTGCTCAGATAATGCTGCAGAAGTAGCTCTCGTCTTACGGGCCTATTAATGCAGATACATACATTATATGTCGGGCTTACTTTCTAAGTGAGGACCATTGTGTTGTGCGTGTCTAGTGAGGGATTATGTCTCCTCGTGGAGCCTCGCCAGTAGATCAGTACTCTATCGATGGTTTGTTCGGCTAGAGTCATTATCTTCATATTTAATCCGGCTAGAGATTGTCAATGACGGTGAGTTGATAGTGCTAGATGAGTATTTCGTGATTAATAGCGTGAAAAACATGTTATCAGTAAACGAGGGCTACCGGCCTGTTTCATGATCGCGTGCTACCATGGTTTCTTATTCTTTACACCTGGCTCGAATCAATTGCCCCGGCGGCGGGGCAAGCTAGGAAGTTAGAAAGGAAAACTAGTGCTGTCGTTCTATCCCGCGAGGTTGATGTTATTGTTTCAACCAGGGTAGGATCAGTCGCTGGAGTAGGCTCAGTGATAGCTGGAGTCAGCGGGGTAATACTGTCGTCTGGTAGAAAGGCACGGATCGCAGGGGCTCGATGCCCACGAACCCACGGTGCGGTATTTGTTCTAAAAGCCCAAAGGCTTTTTTCTCATGAGTCTCCACGGGCGCAGACTGACATCTACTCGAAAGGAAGATTACTTCAGTTCTTCCACCCATTCCAGGTTTTCAATGCCTTTAATGCGGGTGTACCTCAAGAGAAGCTTCTGTCCGTCTAATGTATAGCATGCTACAAGACCCTTTATGAAAATAGCCTATGATTCTGTTTGTCCGAACAGAATCACTCTTGTATTGTGTTAGCAGGTATTCCGATCCTGGCGGCGAAGTACCTTTGTACTCTATGTGTGTGTGTGTGTGCGATTCGTCGCGAATTACGCACGCAAGTTGAATAAGCTGGGCACGGGCAGTGACCGGGGCGTCTTAAGAGCCGGCGTTCTGAGTAAATCTCTTCGGGTCTGCGCTCTGCATGTCAGTACTGGTGAGAAGGTGCCAGCTCCCCAGGGTCGTGATTACCACAAGTCGGCCACTGCCCGGAGGCGGAGGGTGTCCCTGGATCTTTTCCTATACTACTGTAGCATCAGGTTTGGATTCATTCGTAGATGTAATCGACTAGCCACGTTTCATCGGGTAATGCAGAGGTTCCTACTGATCTACACAATATCTGTAGTGGTCATCAACGCGGGTTTTCAAATCCAACTGCTCGAAGAGTGGGAATACTGTCATCGCACTTGGTCCCGTAGGCCGCCACGACTTCGAATTCCTTCAGCCATCCCTTGTTCAGGTCGATGGATCAGTTCCACTCATTGTACAGTACCAGATTGATAGGTATATAATCTTAGTCAAGTCGTTGACACACCATAACTAACGTCCCTTTCATGGCCGAATCTTGAGCTAAGTAGTTGGTTAAATACCCGCCTGTTATGTGTTGGTCTGTTTTAGGACCACTGGAACAATAGGAGTCTTCTGCAAGCATGATTGCAGTAAGGATGAACCTAAGGATATCAATAGGACAAACGGAATCTTCCGCATCCCACGGACTGAATGTCTCCATGACAAAAGAGTCATCAGTGACTACCTAGTAGCCACCAAAAGCGGATGGTGTGGCAGGACCCGTCCCCCCGCCATTTCGACGAATTCAAGAGCGAGCGGGGATTTGCCCCAAAGATCGTAGACGATGGTAGAGGTACAAGAGGTTTTGAGCTACCTCTGTGCCTTTTGGCCCCAAGTGGTTATCGTAGAAGTGACATTACTTTACCCGTGTCATAATACTATTAAATGTGGAATCGAGTTTTGATGTAGTCCCAGTCTTTTCAGGCTGGTTTAGGGACTGAGGTATGGTCTGGCCTGGAGCCAGGCACTGTTGTAGCTCATAGCTCGCGGGCTCGTAGCTCGTGGATTCAAAAGAAGTTGACTAGTCCTGCAGCATATTCTGTGAATTGGTGGCTTTTTCCTGGGTGATAACGGTTGAAATCTCCTACTAGAATAGCTTTCGTCGTGCAGTCACATTGCTCCATATGTTTCTAGATGCTTTCTGAATTTCCCCCGTGTTCTCGTGGCCGCTGCTAGCTTCGAAAGCCTCGTGCATCACGACAGGCGGGATGTAGACTGAGATGCTAGGTACTGTAGTCTTGGGTTCAGGATTTGGCTGCTACCACATTGACAGCGGGTACCTCTGCCCTGGATCTGGTGGGCGGCGCCGTTCGGCGGTTACGCTTCCATTTTCAACCGAAGGGCTTGGATATCCCGCAATTTCTCGTTCCGGGTCTGTAGGGGCTGTTGGTAGGCTTTTAGCCCCCTGGATTTTTGCTCTTGCTGTCTTAATCGGCTTGGTCTGCTGCTTGAGTGTCTCTTTAAGAAAATGTCGGATGTTCTGGTTATTCACTCCCAATTTTTGTCACCACAAGTCGCAAATTGGAGTTTGCGATCGCCTCAGTTACTTCTGTGTAGAGATTTCACCTGCAACAGTATCTTGCGAGGGAAATTCTTGGGCGAAAGTCACATGGGGATAATTTCAAATCGGCGATGTGTCTTGCGTGTCCGTGGGACAGGTTTCGGTGTCCCTTACGAGCGGCTTTGCCATCGGGCCGGGGCTAGTTCCGCTCAGGGCAGTGAAATTTGCCACAACAACACAATCATCTGCTATGAACTGGTATCGAAATCAAGGAATATTTCCTCTGTATGCAGGTTTCAGCTAATACATCTCAGATACCGGCACCTGGAGCCACATAATAGGCATTGGAACGAGGCTAGAGTTGTGACTATCCTTAGCGTGAGAAAGAGGTGGAGACAGGAAGTTTTAATAATAGTATCAGGCTAAAAGTAGTATTAGCCTCTTCACTAGTTGGTTTCTCGCAGGAGACAATTCAGAGTTTGTCCTTGTCACGGCATCCTCGAACGAAGCGTGTATATGATATAAGACGTTGGATTGATCGTCAAACATTCAAAAAGATGCCTAATCGCCAGAATTAGCACGTTCCTACAAGGTATGGGGTTGTCCCGCTGATTACTGCAAACTGTTCTCAGGGTCCGAGAGGAAGATCCCTGGGAGGTATCGCAGGATCTATCGGCCTCTGATTTAAACTAACTATTTCTGACAGATAGTAGTATAGATTGGGAACCTATATCGGCATGAATAGTGTCGTTGAATCATCCCTTCCGCGTCTCCTTATACTACACCGTATCGAAGTTTCATCATGGTCTGCTTCATTCACGATTTCAATATAATCAACTCACTGCACCATGAAGCTGCATCATCCCTTCGGGTAATGGAGGGTTATGCGCACGGTTGGTTGACCTTGATAAACGAGAGCCTGTGGCACTAGAGCTGAGACAACTGAAACCACTGTCCGGTCCGGAGGCAATTATGAGGAGCCTTATAAATGCAGCGCGACTTATATTTTGTGATATCCACCACGAGCAAGACCGCTCAGAGCACGCTCGACAGATCACTTCTCAGTGGATGAATGATGGGGCACTAGTCGCTGATAGTTTCGCTGCAACTATGCCCTTCCCCTCGGCGGAAAGAAGCGCATATGGCCGGCAGCATGGGACGACGATATCCTAATCGTGAACGGCAGACCTTCGCATCGTCCCCTGGATCGGCTTGTGGCACCACCTGAAATTTCCAACGAGTAGCCCCGGTCACGGGTAAGGATAAGAGGGAATGGCGGCATATATTTGATGTTTCTTTCATCCATTCTTTTGTTACTCCGTAACTATTTCCTGGCGAAGGTATTGATGATGTTGATTTGGGTTCTTGTGACCTTGTGACTCGCGCTATGGTACGCTACTGATAGCTCTCAGCAGCATCACAGCGCATTCTCTGTTGTTAGAGGGTGGAACGTTTTACCGCATGTAAATATAGTCGAGCTAAGCCGGTGGTAGTTGTTGCTGTGTCCGAATATGAAGAAGTAACAGCTCCTCATTAAGTGTGAACATACCAGGTATGGTGAGTTTCCGAAGCAAGAGATGGTGCTCTCTAGTGCGTCCTGAATCACCCCTAAGAGCTCAGAGTGCCACTTGATTCCGTGTCTAAATATGCAGTACTTGCCGAACGAAGGCTTGGTGCACGAGAAGGATACACACCTGGTACATGACAAGAAACCACAACTTCCGCTTCCACAGACCGCGGTAGCAACATCAACCATATGACTAGCATACAGGGGACTAGGATTCTGGAACCGGAAGATAACATAATTCGTGTCCGGCTTCGTTGACAGAAGGTGTAGGGTATTATATATGTAGACCCTTGTAGTCGTCCGTAGTGGATTGCAATGAAGCAGACGATTGCACCCCACTTTTTACTCGCGGCAATTTCTCAAGACTAGTGATAGATTCGGACTACCCTAACTAAAAACGACGCTCGAATCCTTGGAATAGCTTGCTGTCTCTGTTCGCTAGCTTACTAAACTAAATGTACCTATCAGAGTAAATTGTATTAATTCAGCTTGGCATATACAAGATGAGGAAGAATTACTACGAGCAGCAGACGTAGGCCGAATAGTGTTGTCCGGCTACCGCAAGTGCGAATGAGTATGGTGATCATAGCTTACTCTTCAGATATGGTTTACAGGAAGACGTGTATGTATTGTTAGTATGAGATTTGTTGTCTTTATAATTAAATGTGACGGCTAAGACTATCCGATGTACACAATACACTATGGGACCATATCACATTATGTGATGCTGTTATTGGCCGCGGTCGTCCAATATCCAGTACCTCCCGAGCCACTTCTAGCGCATTATGCCTGGCACGTTCACGTAACAAGTAGTTCAATAGGAGGGTTCGTGGAGATTCGCGGTCTGTTCACATGGACTTACTTGCGGAGGGAACGGGGCAAATGTGCTATAGAACCAGAGGCGGCTAAATATGATAAAGGACTTAAGAGGAATTAAACAATGCTTGAATAAAGAGAAAAAAGAGTACTTTGCTAGCAATATAACAAGCATCCTGTTACAATCACGTGGGGAATACAGATTGAATATACTTTGTAAACAACTGGTTACTGATCACTCCTATTACGGTACATTGATTAAGATATACTAAAATCATGGTCATACGAACCACCGTGAGTATCATAGACTATATATGTTAGTCTATCTATTCTGTCACTCTTCGCTCAAAAACTCCACCAGCATCACGTATAAGGTCTAAGAACGAGGTTTACATTTTAGGCTTTCTTCCTGAGCGGGTGAATTCTCTGAGCAGCCTATTTTCTATCTAGAAACATTGATATTTTGCCTAAATCCCTCTCTGTCCAGTATATATTCGTCTGGTTTGCTTGTCAGTTGTCAGTATGACGGGGCCATGTGCACAGACACTTGAGTGTGTTGTATTTCAAAGCTGACATATAATTATACTACTATTCAGGACGGAGAACTCGCTGGGCAAACTGCTTGAATTACTCTGCCTGATGCTTTCAAGCTATAAGACCAGGGACCGATGCGCATAGGCTAGATAAGAAGTTGAAGGTGCCAGTCTTGCATATCCCTGTTTGATTAACAGCTGATACTTAGTTCTAATAACCAGTTAGTCCTCCGACCCAAGCCTAGAAAATACTGCAATCTCCAGCTGCGTGCTTTTATAGTGCTAGATGCAGGAATGCCAGCAGAAATCTTGCAATACACCTGTGACAAGCTAGTTTCGGAAGGTGCCAAGCGACCTTTACTGTTTTTCTTAAGTCTCAAGGAGACTGTTATATCATGGAAGATTAGTTTCTTGTAGGGATATATGTCAATAATCTCTGCCAGAGGACCCAAATTATAGTATAAGACTTTAGAGTTCCGATCATGCCTCTGGATAGGAAATGAGGCCAGCGGGTGCAGTACTAGACATCTAAAGTATGTCTGCCAATGGTCGTTCTCAAGAAAGTGGATGGCTTTCTACTGCAGGGTGACGAAAGTATGTCTATTATATCTCTGGTGGAGAGTTGCAAATTATCCATGGCGTTGCAATGACTCTGGGCTTGGAATGGGACTGTATGTTGCGTACAGTTACTTACAGGTCATGGCGAGGCATATTTCTTCCATGGTAGATATGTAGAAAATAATCTTAAATAGTAGTTTAGTTAGTAATGCTAGAAGTGGGAATACAGTCAACATATGAAGGTCATCTTCTGGACTATAATCTGTTTTGCTTGGCGAGTTGCCCATCTCCTGAAGAAGCTTTTTAATACTAAGAAGGTTTCCCCCGAAGCGCGGCAGCTTCATTAGTGAGTGTATCATAAGCCGTGGTTATTTGTTTTGGCGGCCCCAGATAATGTAGGAAGGTCGGTGTGATTGAGATCTGTTAGGAATCCTACTAAGGAATGAATATAGCAGGAAAAAAGATAGTCAGTCTCAGGGATTCAGGAAACACTCGATCACGTCATCCAGAGTGCCATTTAAAGTAATCTTGGACCTTATCAAGAAATTAGCTCGATTGTAGGAACCTCACGACCATACGATTTCTCCGATCAGGAGAACTTCCCTTACATCTCTGGCGCATTTTAATAAGTGCTTCAATGGCACCCCGTCACCCCCTCTCAGCGTAACGCACGCCTCTAGCGAAGAACATTTTTATAGCGGTTATTCAATCCCCAAGGGCGCTATCATCGTTCTCAACGTCTGTAAGCATCCCTTCTTTCCATCTTCCCTACTTCATGCCTAACACGAACCAAACCCAGCCCATGACCCAATCAGATACCATGACTCCGAAGCATTTAACCCTGATCGCTTGCTCGGCGGAGAGTCCGAGCCAGACCTGCGGTTATACACATTCGGATTTGGACGACGGATCTGTCCTGGCCAATTGCTCGCTGAGACTTACTGTAGCGCGGGTCTTGGCGATATTGGAGACCCAGAAAGTAGTGAAAGATGGGGAAGAAGTTCCTATTAGAATGGAGTTGTCTTCAGGACAATTAGCCACCCATTTCCTTTCGAGGTGGAATTGAAGCCGAGGTGTAGGGAACATGAGGAACTAGTGGATGCTGTCAATAGGAAGTTTCGAAGGGTCATGCGGAGGAATTCGGGATCTGGTCCGCAATAGTGCTATACTAGATGTGAAGATAAAAATGAGTAAAGGGTCAAAATTTATTGTCTGTCCGAGGTACATGATGAACAAGGATCGGTGCTGCGATTGTATGTTAACGAACCCGCTCGGCGTCTGCCATGACCATGATACGGAACGACTGAACACTATCACGCTCAATTTAACCCAATGCAGGCCTGTTGAGTCGTATTCCACTGCCTTTCGAGGTCCAGTATAGTGTACAGACATCCGAATGGTCGTTGAACGGCGATGGGAAACGTCTGCTCAAACAAATATGTTCTTGGGTCGGTTAGAAAACAGAAACATCTAACCAACCGGGTGACCCTCATGACAAGGGCAATTGAAACGATGCTCACCCCTTGAAGGGATTTACCCTAGTAGACAGTGCAGGTTACTTTTCTTCGTAGTGAGGAGATACTGCGCATAGGGACAAGGTTCATACAGGATGAGCATCGGTAAGACTAGGGTAGTGCGAGTTGCCTCCATACGTGAGTGGTGCAGGCGCGCCCCGGCTACCTATTCCGATATCTCGTCACGTGACTAAGTAGGGACGGACTGCTGTTGGCCAAATTAGGAACGAGGGAGATGGCGTTCAGGCACCGCCACTCGCTGATGGTCCCCGAAAGGCAGGAGGACGATGAGTGGGAGAGGAGACATGCGCAAAAACGAACTAAACTAGAAAGTAAGGGAAACGAGTCAAGCAATGAGTGGAGCATCTGTAGCTACCTAGACCAGCTGCAGGCCTCATAAAGCGCTGTAACGAGTCCGACCTGCCCCATAGCCGCTCCACAAAGAATCAAAGAAAGAGGATAAGTGATGGGCAATTTTCAATAGTAAACCGAGCTAAGGAATCGACGATCATGATTTGAAGAAATGCAGCTGGACCGGCGCACAAATTGACTAACCCGGGCCCACCGCGCGCCACCTTACGCTTGACTGCATCTCTAAAGCAAATCCCGAACGCCACACTTCGGGATTTGCCTCTTCGGGCCTAGATGATGATCATGCCGTGCAGGGTTTCTTTCAGCTGGTCTTCACGCTGTGTATACCAGACTACATCTGTTGGTTTAGCATTAAGGACCCTTCAGATTGGTTCCCCTGAATCTGGAAATTCGATGGCTCTATTGTCAGCACCATTGTTGCTGTTGCTGCTGTTGTTCCTGCTGTCGCAGTTGAGACGGGTCTTGGACACTCCCAAGAAGTTGGTCTAAGGCATGCGTTGGTGGGGGAGACGGTAACGGTAGTATGCTCTGCTAGGCATTGCATGACCTTCTCTTTAGGTAGACGCTTATTTTATCTTTTGTTGTTTGCTCAAAATCCGCTGCCATGTTTCAGGAGGATCCCGAACAGTCTGATGGAAAGAATGAAATCCCAGCTGTGTCACTGGCAGTTACACAGCCTAAGACTGCCAGACCCACGGTCCGCAGGAAGTTCGCCAAACCCCCCGTCAAGGTAGCTTGTTTGGCCTGGTAAGCTAGCCTGCTGACGACCCCCCCCCCTTTCCCCCCCCCAACCTCCTCTTTCTTCCCCTCTCTTTTTCTCTTTCTTTTTTAAGCTTATTGTCATGGACACACCTCGTCTTTCTTTGTCTTTGTCTTTATTTGCTATTGCAGGCCATCTTGCTGTCAACTTATCAGGACTAATATGTAATCTGTATTTATTTATCAGTCATGCTTCAAGAACACGTTGTGATGGACAAGACTCATGTATGAATATAGATATACTATCTGCTTCCCTATCATATAGATTGTCATAAATCTCAAGAACTTTGGATATTCTGTTTTCTAATTTTATTTTTGTTGGCTCATCTTCTTTCTCTTCTTTTCTGTCTTTATAGCTATTCCCTCATTCTGTTATGGTTTGCCGGGCTAGTTTTCGCGCCCCATCTTGCTTGCTAGCAGCAGTCTGATCTTTCTTTGGTAACTTAGAGAATGTGTGCTGATTGTACTTGTTCGGGTTGAAAGTGTTCTAGTAGGAATAAGAGTTGCTCTTATTTGCCCAGTAAAAGGGTTGGTCTAAGGAAGAAGAATAAGCTATTCATAACTGCAGAATCTCAATAAGATGGTGTTGAGGATACTACTGCTATCCTTCCAGTATTTTTGGAATTTGATAATTGTATACTCAGACCCCAGTTACAACTCAAGGGTAGTAACTAACATATATCTAGTATCCGGGATATTCAGCTATTTTGATGTCCTATTAGTTCCCAGGGTAGGGTTAAGAAGCTTTGGCTTTTCCTCTGATATCTATGCTATGTTTATGGATTTCTTTGTTCTATGTATCTATTATAATGCCCATGGCTAAATGGACTCAACCTGTTTATCACCAAACATTCCATCCCGGGCTTTGGTCAGGACATACGGCAGCGAAGATGCCATGTAGGTGTTATTAAATTTCAGTCATGGTTTCACGGTATTCTGACCTGAGATTGCAGTTTTAACGCATACTATGACTTTATTTATAATCAATTTCCCATATTTCTACTAAGGATTGATCCCTGGGCTCCTGATTGGTCCCTAGATTGTGTTGGTATAATCACAGATTTATTAATAGAACAGCTAATGTTTGTCTATAAGCCATGGTCTCCTCTAAGTCTCACAATTTCAGTGATAATGGCACTGGTTCCGCACCTATATAATCCAGAACCATGGGGACCTGTGTCTGTCATCCACTACCACATATTCGCGTACAAGTATGCGTAACTGGTAAATAAAGCTATTAAGTCTAATTACAGGCTTCACGCTCTGTCTTCTAATTCTCCAGAGGTATTATCCAACGCAAGGCCTTTTATCTATCGAGAATATTTCATTCCAAGACACTAGTAGAACTAGAAAGCCTTCTAGCATTTCTTGTGTTTTTGATATATAAATACAAGCAGCGAGGCGATCTCCTTAATATGTGGTATTGTGCTAGTCAGGCACTAGTTATAGTGTTAGACATGTCTCTGTATTCTCTTAGGGAAGAATTTGATGAGTTTGCGGAAGCTTGCCTGAGAGTGTGGTATATGACTGTATGAATCCTTCATATGCATGGTATTATATTACTAATGTCTGTCTATTTACAGTATTATTGTGTTCTTGAAGGTTCTATCATTAGTATTATGGTTAGTACTCCCTACTTTGTGGATTATTGATATTAATGCTTGGCTGCAGCCTCTAGCAATTATTGCTAATAACCCTCAATTTTTTATATCTTATCCGCGATTCTCTGCTGATCCTGCTGTGAGAATATCACTATTGCCTGAAATATGTGAACAGTCGGCTCCTAATGTTGTATAGAGATAGTCCTTATTAATACAAGCTTAGCAAGATCTAATCTTAATAATGCAGTTTATTATTGATTTGAATAGGTGTTTCTCGACGAGGACCTACATGCCATATATTCATGAATAGATGTGGCAACTAGAAGTATGGACAAGCCCCGTCTTAGTATAGTTGAATTTATTTTCGGTATTTCCATAATCTATAGCCTATGATAGTGAAAATGAGTTCACAACAGCTCAAGGTATATGTGCAATATCACGGATTAAGTTATCCAGGTGGGTAGTTTTTAGACACTCCATCCAAGCTTTTCCTGCTACTAACGGCTCTTCAGTGCTTGAATCAGAATACATCAGTTTAGAGCTTTTTTAAATATTCTGGTCCTTGTTAAAAAGCACTGTGAGCTCGCCTCAGTCAATATAAACAGTGCAATGTCTGACAATACCTTCAGAAATGCAGATCTTAAAGTGAAGTTGAAAACTTCAAATATTCATATATCAAAGTTATGTCAGCAGGCATCCAGAGACTATTTATTGTCTATATCTTCAGTAATATCAGATGTTCAGCAGTTTCCATTTGTACAAGAATTTCCATACAGCTTTTAAATACAGTGAAGGTGTGTCCTCAGGGCATCTCTTCTAATTCTATGCATGTTCCATAGCTTACCCCTGCCATAACCGTTCTAAGATGAATTTCGGAATCAACAGGGGTTGCATATGCTACCGAATCAGCTACCACGTACTATATAGTATATTAAAGCAGTGATATCAGAGGGATTTGGTCACGTAACTATATCACCTAGCATACCAACCATCCCTTCAACACGCGCCTCGCTGCGCGGTTTTTTAGAACAATAAAACAACATACACTTTACCTCTAGATTTTTGCTTCCTGCTAGCAGAGCTTTTCCAACATGATCCTTACAACACATGCCTTGAGGGGGAGTAGTCATGACTTACCCCGTCTGTTTGACTGATATGTCCAGTATTATCCATATTCTAAGTATACACTTGTATCCTGCATGGATGCTACAGTTCCTGGCGATTCATAGATACTTCCTGATAATAATAATAACACTTAGTTTCTACCATAGACCTTTTGATACTTCCTACTCTGTAACAAAGTTTATGCCTGAAACGATACGCGAGAAGAAATAACTGTGGATAAAAGTTATTTAAAAAAATAAAAGTAAATTACTAGAGAGAACTTCTTGATAAAGCAGGTCAAGACCATTATGGGAAGCAGCCACCTATATATGCCCGCGAGATATATATATAAGCATCCTGATAATCTAACTGGGCATAGAGGAGGTAATTGACAACTAAGAAAAATAAATATATTTCTTGATATCTTCTTTCTAAAGATTGCAGAATCTGAAATAGGAGGAGTTAACAGCCCCTTGAAAAAACTACTATAAAAGCTAATTACAGAATATGATATGTACTACTCACTTCAAGTTGCCAAGGGAGCAATAGCCCCAGGCAGAGACAGGATTTATAGAAATATTTCTGGATATTTCTGAAAGAGAATATTACCACTGTTTTAGTTAAATTATTAAATGATGAGATTATTAATACTCTTTACAGTGTTCTTG